GGGGTTTCACCATGTTGGCCAGGATGGTCTCGATCTCTTGACCTCGTGATCCACCCGCCTCGGCCTCCCAAAGTGCTGGGATTACAGGCTTGAGCCACCGTGCCCGGCCTTATTTTGTTTTTTTCTTTCTCTCCTTTGTTCTGTTTGCCTTTCCTTTCTGATAGGATCTTGCTTCCTTGCTCAGGCTGGCGTATAGTGGTGTGATTGTAGCTCACTGCATGCATCCTTGAGCTCCTGGGCTCAGGCGATTCTAATACCTCAGTCTGCTGGGTATCAAGGACTCCCGGAGAGCACCGCTACGTCCAGCTAATGTTTATTTTTTTATTTTTTATTTTTTGTGGAGATAGGCTCTCGTTATGTTAACCTAGGCTGATCTCAAAGCTTCTGGTCTCAAATGATCTTCCTGCTTTAGCCTCCCAATGTGTTGGGATTTTTTTTTTTTTTTTTTCAGATGGAGTTTTGCTCTTGTTGCCTAGGCTGGAGTGCAATGATGCCATCTCCGTTCACTGCAACCTCTGCCTCCTGGGTTCAAGCGATTCTCCTGCCTCAGCCTCCCAAGTAGCTGGGACTACGGGCATGTGCCACCACGCCCAGCTAATTTTTGTACTTTGAGTAGATGCGGGGTTTCACCATGTTGGCCAGGATGGTCTTGATCTCCTGACTTGGTAGTCTGCCTGCTTTGGCCTACCAAAGTGTGGGATTATAGGCATGAACCACCATGCCTGGCACACTTGTGATTCTTACAGTTTTTTCTTCCTTATTGTCATTTATTTCTTTAGTTTTTTTTTTTTTTGAATATGGAGTCTCATTTTCCTGCCCAGGATGGAGTGTAGTGGCGCAATCTCAGTGCACTGCAACCTCCACCTCCTGGGTTCAAGTGATTCTCCTGCCTCAGCCTCCTGAGTTGCTGGGATATTATGGACGTCCGCCACCACCCCAGCTAACTTTTCTGTTTTTAGTAGACAGGGGGTTTCACCAGGTTGACCAGGCTGACAGCAGTATAGTGTTATCCTGACCTCAGGTAATCTGCCCGCCTCAGCCTTCCATAGTGCTGGGATTACAGGTGTGAGCCACTGCGCCCAGCCATTTCTTTAGTTTTTAAAGCTGCCTTAATTTTGTAAGGAAGCATGGGGTATATGAATCTGCCTTTTCTGCCATTTAATCACAGTCTTTTTCTGTAGCTTGAAAACACTGACAATACTGAGTGGACAGATGAAGCTCTGATTCTCCAAATATTCATTTAAACATAGTCCGTTTCTCTTACTCCCATGCTTTAATGGGATAATTTATGAGTATAGTGCACTGTGGCGATGCACACATTCTGTCACTTTCCGTACCGTAATCTTATGGTATGGGAAGCACCTTACCATAAGATTAAAGAGAAGTGCTTTCCTGCTTACCAAGTGTCATTTACAAACCTAACAGGTTTCAAACTTTGTACTTTGTAGAATGTCTACTAGAGTCCTCTTAGCCACTCTCTCCATCCCTATTACTCCTGAGCGTACGGATATTGCTCGACTTCTGGATATGGATGGCATTATAGTTGAAAAACAACGTCGCCTTGCAACGCTACTAGGTCTTCAAGCCCCACCGACACGAATTGGCCTTATTAATGATATGGTTAGTATTAATTTGCCTTTTTATAGCTTTGGGCAGAAAACTTTGTGGTCAGGTTTAATACCCATGATTAAATACTAGGAATTCTGACTCATTGCCAGGGGATTCTGATGTATAGACAGGGAAGCAGTGGTGTCAATCACTGTTCAGTTGAGGCAGTTCGCTCCAGTGAGTGAGCTGGTCTTAAATTATTGGGAGTTTTGATGTAGGAGCACGTGGGTTGGGTCTGAGGAATACTGTGGACCATTCAGCAAGAGAAGTATTGATGGGCAAGAAGGGTCATGGCTTATTTCATGGGGGCTCTAGGAAAACTGAGCTGTGTGTGGGAAATATGAAGAGGCTAGGTTTATTAGTATGTCCTCGCACTGCTATAAAGAAATAGCTGAGGCTGGGTGCGGTGGCTCATGAATGTAATCCCAGCACTTTGGGAGGCTGAATTCGGCGGATCACCTTAGTTTAGGAGTTAGAGACTAGCCTAGCCAACATGGTGAAACCCAGTCTCTACTAAAAATACAAAAATTAGCTGGGTGTGGTGGTGCATGCTTGTAATCGCAGCTACTCAGGAGGCTGAGTCAGGAGAATCTCTTGAATCCAGGAGGCGGAGGTTGCAATGAGCTGAAATCATGCCACTGCACTCTGGCCTGGGCGACAGAGTGAGACTCTGAAACAAACAATGAAACAAAAAAATACCTGAGATTGGGTAATTTATAAAGAAAACAGGTTTAATTGGCTTACGGTTCCACAGGCTGTATAGGAAGTATAGTTGCTTCTGTATCTGGGAAGGCCTCAGGAAAATTGCTATTATGGTGGAAGGTGAAGGGGAAACAGGCATGGCTTATACGGCTGGAGCAGGAGGAAGAGAGAGCGGGGGAAGGTACCACACACACTTTTTTTTTTTCCTCGAAATGGAGTCTTGCTCTGTTACGCAGGCTGGAGTGCAGTGGCACGATCTCGGCTCATTTGCAACCTCCACCTCTTGGGTTCAGGAAATTCTCCTGTCTCAGCCTCCCTGGTAGCTGGGATTACAGGCACTCACCACCATACCTAGCTAATTTTTGTATTTTTAGTAGAGACAGGGTTTCACCATCTTGGCCAGGTCTTAAACTCCTGGACTCGTGATCCACCTGCTTCAGCCTCCCAAACTGCTGGAATTACGGTATGAGCCACTGTGCCCAGCCCAGATATGTGTATCTTTTTGGTGTTTCACACTGATGGAATCTTCCTTCAGTGGAAATTGGAGTGCCTATCAATGTGCCTAGCAGATGAAACTGAAGGCAGAAGTTGTATTCCAGGGAAGCTTAGATTGTAGGGATTCTCATCATAACAGTCTGAGTTGGTGGTTATTATAATCACCTCCAGTAGATTACTTTGAGATAATAGAAAAAGGGGTAAGTACTAGAGAAAAGTATTAAGGAAAAATCAACTTGGCTGTATGTTTACCAAAAATGGAATTTAAATCATTAACAGTGCCTAATTATTCATGAATAGAGTAATTAAAGAAATCACGAAGATAATGGCAACCTCTCTTAGATATTTTTAAAATGTATTCTGAGAAAACATCTGTAGTCACTCTGGTAAAAACTAGATAAAAGGCCTAAATTTTCTGCAGTAGTCAATTTAAGAACAAATACGTTTTCTAGATAGTGGCTTTGTTCTTTTGTGACATAGTAATGCAGATCTGCTTTGTAGTTTATTTTTGCTAAGAGTTTCTACAGAGCAGCTTTTTCCTACTTTGTACCTCCATGTTTTACTCTGCTGCCACTGCCCACAGAGTCCAACTTTCTGTTTTTGGGACCAATGTAGGACTCAGTGTAATAAAGCAAGAGCAGTTTCTTGAGAAAGATTTCATTAGCCAATGTTTTAAAAATTTGCTTCTAATTTTTAAAGCTGAAGAAGTGTACCACACGGAAAGGATAATCCATGTCACCTTGCTGTTAAAGGTGATCTCTTAGACTTACATTTAATGAACTGCAATATGTTGTCCCAGAGCGAAAGACATTTACAGTTGGCTGGAAGTAGAATTTTTAAGCCACTAAAACTCTGTGAGCAAGTAATAGTGATCACTAATGGGAAGCATTGGATCAGCAGCTAGGGCATCTAAATTAGGGCCCTCATTGTGCCCCATAGAATGTAGACTTCTACAAGGGTACCTGTTAGTGTCAAGTGAATGGATTAGCTGACTGCCAAGAGTCATTTATCAACTTTTTGAGTTGATCATATATCTGAGGTCAATACCTGAGGAGAGGGCGCGATAACTGAAATTCGTGAGACAGTGTGATTCCATGATCTCAGGAAGACTCAGGTGTTCATAAGAGTGACTTTTAAATCAGAAAGCAAGCCAATTGTGTATTTTAGTGAGAAATGTAATTCAGTAGGTTATGGCAGCCTTTTACATTCCCTATTTGGAAGGTGAGCTGCATGAAGAATCTAAAATAATTTCATAGAAATGAAATTAGAGCAGGGAACTCTTTTTTTTTCTTAAAGACAGATTCCAAGTTAGTTAGGAAATTAAAAATAAATGGATGCTTATAAGGGGGAAGTATTAGACTGTTGTAGGATGTCAGTCTTGTACCCATTTTACATTGGAGTTAATCTTAGGCCTGAGTGCTGGTGTGTTTGGGTACCCTCCTTGCTTGGGGATGGGATCTGCCAACATTTGCCTCAGTTTTGTCACCCACTGTCTGTAGGAACACACTCCTGGCCTTTGCTGTGTCCCAGCAGTTATTCTGTCCTTGGGTTAACAGTTCCTAACAAATGACATATTTCTTGGTAAAATTGAAGTCCATATAAATGGGGTGATATGTGAAATTCTTCTCACATGTAAGATTATGTTTGTGACATTTACTCATGTATTCTTACATAACTTTTCTTTTTTTGAGCATTTTTGTGTATTTTATGAACACACCAACCTCCTCTTTATGAGTAAGTGAATTCTTCCCAATTTGGGGCTTTTAGAAATAGTGCAGCCATGATAATTTTTGTGTGACAATTTATGTAAAAGTAAAACTCTGTGAATCTAAAGCCTGAGCTGAAAGTGGAAAAAAAAAAGTAAACCTCTGGTATTTTCCTTGTTATTGGTAATAAACTATTCTGTTGGCCACAGTTTAATTGGTTGTGGTTGTGTGTTTTAGAGTTTCATTTCCTTTTTACATACTTCTCGCTGTAGGTTAGTGTGCATAGTATGGGGCAAGAGACCCAGCAGAGTTGTACTTGGATTCATCTTTGGTAAATTTAGAGGAGGTTGAGGCTTGGTGATTTTTTAAAATCATTTTTCAGATTTCCAATGCTATCATTTTCTTTAATTCATAGTCAGTTCAGAATCTTAGTTGGAAAATTTCCTTTGGCAGTTACAACTTTTGTTTTGCTTACTCTAGGTCAGATTTAATGTACTGCAGTATGTTGTCCCAGAAGTGAAAGACCTTTACAATTGGCTTGAAGTGGAATTTAACCCACTAAAACTCTGTGAGCGAGTCACAAAGGTAAGCCTTTGGATTTAAGTTCTTTCTGATTGTTATCACAGAGTTGGCCTTATTGCAATTTTGGGTTGTACTGGTATTTGTTAAGAAAGAAGTATTGTCCTATGTGTTAGAATTCAGTGCACATTTCATGTCTTTTTTCTTTATTTCATGAGAAAATATATTTCTGATGTGCTAAACAAACCTTTGGAGGTTAATTAGCAGTATGACTAATTTAGTTGTTGCTGTCAGTCACCTTCAAACAAGTATCAGTAGCTTCATGATACATTTTGTATTTCTCTGCTTTGGATAATGTTTTTGTATCTTAAAAAAACTGGAAGAATTTCAGATGTTTTGGTATCTGTTATTGTAGAAAGTATGATTCTCTTTCAATTTAATGAATTTTATAGGTTCTAAATTGGGTTAGGGAACAACCTGAAAAGGAACCGGAATTGCAACAGTATGTGCCACAACTGCAGAACAACACCATCCTCCGCCTTCTGCAGCAGGTACAAATTAAAAAAGGTTTTGTGGAAGAACTGGAGTTTTCTTGTTTGTGTGTACTGATCATGAAACTAAAAACTGGAAAAATCTAGAACTGTTTAGGAAGTGAGAACCTCCGTTCTGCCCTTGCCAAAAATTAGTCTCATACTACTTATTAACTTGAAAAATGGGATAACTGTATTTACACATTTTGTAACTGACTTTTTTTTTTTTTTGGCTGAACACTGTCTTTGGGCATCTTTCCTTGTTAGTAATGTAGGGCTACCTTATTCCTTTTAAGATACCGTGGTTTATTCAGACTCTCTTGATGAAAACCTGTATTACTAGATTTTTTTTTTCCTGTTAAAAATCTTGTAGCATTGAGCATCTTTCATACATGTATCTTTGCATACTTCTATTACTTTCTGTGGCATAAGAAGTGGAATTAGTCGTAGGGGATATGCATTTAAAGCTTTAATAGCTATTCAGAAGCCTGGATTGTAGATCCTCCCACCATTAGTGAGTGAGACAGCCTTTTCATATATTTTAGTCCAGGGACTTGAGTAAGTTTTAATGTTTTGGCTTATAATGGGGGCTTAAGTACTCCCATTTTGTTTTTCATTTGTTTCATTTGGGAAGGAAGGCTTTTTATTATATTTTTACCTCAGTATTTGTGCACATTTCATTGACCTGCTTTCTTTTGTACATGTGAGCAGTGTTATTTCTTCTGTGCTATACAAATAGTTGAAGGCTAATTAGCAGTATAACTATAAATAGTAATGCTGCCAGTCTCCTTCAGACAAAAAATATCTAAGAAGTGTTTATAAATATATTCGGTAAGTGGTAGATTTTTTGTTTTTTTTTAATTTTACGAAAACTAGGATTTCAAAAGATTATAGGTTTGAGGAATAGTATGATAATAGTTCTCAAAGCATGAGGTTTGGGGTTGATAGTCTGGGATTAGAATTCTGGCTTTAACAATGTACTGCTAACATAATTCCCTGGCATAATTTCTACTTCCCATGATTGTCATGAGATTGCGTATAAAAAGTGCTGAAAAAATAGTGGTTAGTGTTATTAACGCTGTGTTTTCTATGCAGGTGGCACAGATTTATCAGAGCATTGAGTTTTCTCGTTTGACTTCTCTGGTTCCTTTTGTTGATGCTTTCCAACTGGAACGGGCCATAGTAGATGCAGCCAGGCATTGCGACTTGCAGGTGGGTATGTGCTATAAGGGGACAGGTGCAAGGCCCTTGAGGACTGGAAAGACACATATCCTTTGTTTATCATTTTAAAGTTTACTGAGTGAACTTTTCTAGCTTTTGTATATGACTTTTTTTGTTACTTTTTTGACTTCATGCTTAGATATGGATTTAACCATTTATAATTTAATTTTCAAAGGTTCGTATTGATCACACTTCTCGTACCCTGAGTTTTGGATCTGATTTGAATTATGCTACTCGAGAAGATGCTCCGATTGGTCCTCATTTGCAAAGCATGCCTTCAGAGCAGATAAGAAACCAGCTGACAGCCATGTCCTCAGTACTTGCAAAAGCACTTGAAGTCATTAAGCCAGCTCATATACTGGTATGCATCTTCCTGGGGAAATAAATCGCAGAAGTTTTGAGGGACTCTTATGCCATGTCTTTCACAAAAAGGTTTGAGATGATATCTAAGAGAAGGGATTTATGATATATTTTCTATAGAATTGTACTTGGTAGAATTCTGTAGAAGTAGAATTCTATAGAATTGTTACTTTATCAAATACACAAACCATTGAGCTTTCTTCCACTGAATAAAATATTATTACTCTGTATAGGTAATGTAATAGTGTGGATTATGTTACAGAAGCAACAGAGTGGACATACGATTTCTCAAAGAGGAAGTATAATGATTGGATTTTTCCCTCCTGCTTCTTTCTTTCTTTCCTTCTGTATTTATTTGTTTGTTTGAGATGGAGTCTCACTGTGTCACTTAGGCTGGAGTGTAGTGGCGCCATTTTGTCTCACTACAGTCTCTACCACCTGGGTTCAAGTGATTTTTGTGCGTCAGTCTCTTGTGTAGCTGGGACTACAGGCACGCACCATATGCCCTGCTAATGTTTTGTATTTTTGGTAGAGATGGGGTTTTACCATGTTGGCCAGGCTGGTCTGAAACTCCTGGCCTCAACCCACCTTGGCCTCCCGAAGTGCTGGGGTTACAGGCGTGAGCTATTGCCTGTAACAAGTTATTTCTTCTTTGTGAGCTCTGTTAATGAACACCTAAGGTAAGTTTGGTGCAGAGAAAAGTTGTCTTAGCTAGGAGAGCTGCTTTAGCTGCGTCCTTGCTATTAAAAGACTGAATAGGAGCAACACCATAGCATTTGATACTGAAAACAAACAGCTTGGATAGTGTCATCTTCCAATATCAAATGCAGATACATAGAAAGGCAATGCATCAGGGTTACTTTGTAATTTCTTTATGCCTACTACCAGAGAATATTAATTTTGGTCATTTTTCAAAATTCATTTGTTTTCGAAGCAAGAAAAAGAAGAACAGCATCAGTTGGCAGTTACTGCATACCTCAAAAATTCACGAAAAGAGCACCAGCGGATCCTGGCTCGCCGCCAGACAATTGAGGAAAGAAAAGAGCGCCTTGAGAGTTTGAATATTCAGCGTGAGAAAGAAGAATTGGAACAGAGGGAAGCTGAACTCCAGAAAGTACGAAAGGCTGAGGAAGAGAGGCTGCGCCAGGAAGCAAAAGAGAGAGAAAAGGAGCGTATCTTACAGGAACATGAACAAATCAAAAAGAAAACTGTCCGAGAGCGTTTGGAGCAGATCAAGAAAACAGAACTGGGTGCCAAAGCATTCAAAGATATTGACATTGAAGTATGTAGCATTTTAGTTTTATCCAGGTCTTTTATACTCTTAGAACCATAGTCCTTTGCCATTTGGTGGCTTATTTTGAGTTATCTTATGCATTTTGGTACAGCTAGCCATGACTAAATCTGTGAGTAAGCATATGTTTAATTGCTCTGTGCAGTTTTGTTGGTTTTTTTTTTTTTTTTTTTTTTTTTTTTT